TATGAGAAATATGTATATACATTAGAATTGTTATCGTCACATAGATCAAAAAGCAGAAAAATAGAAGTTTAAAAATAACAGTTATTCCATTTGAAAAATCTGAAAAGTAAAACCTAATTTACCTGTACAATAAAATTAGCACAACATTTTCTCTTAACGCATAGATTTTGATGCAAGGAAAAAAAAACTATTTTCAGTTAATACAGAAGGGAACCGATTATCCGGAACGATCGGGACCATCGCTATTCCGGATAACTAATAATCTTAAAACGAAGAAAAAACGAAGTAATTCACTAATGATTATTTCCAAAATGATAGTAAGGTAAACATCTTTCCTAAAAGAAAAGAAAATCCTAAAATCTTATGAGGAAAAAAAAATTTTTTTTTAAATTGCGGGAAAATTCAGTGAATTTCGTTCCGGTTTTTTGGTTTTCCGGTTTTCTGAAATCCGGATAATGGGTTCTGTACTGTATATATATATATATATATATGTTTAATAAATATAATATGACATATTATTAATAAAAAAAAATATTTACACAGTAAAACTTAAAGTTTATGAGCACTAAATGAAAAAACCCAGATTTCTCCGGGTTTTTTCATATAAAACCCAATTTTCCCCAGGTTTTTTCAATAAAACCCAGGCGGGTTGGAGGTTTTCTAAAATACCCGGGTTTTTTCAAACCCTGTGCTGGAGCCAGCCACTCATCGCCGAATTTTTTTAAAAAAATTCTTAAATGAGAATAGAAAAATCGCGAGCTTTCCTTTGTTACGTGAGAAAGGGGTCTTCGGAATATAATTCGACAGAAAAAATTGTTTTTTTTTTTAAATTTAAATTCTGAATCGGCAAAAATGAAAAATCTTTTTGCCTTTTTCCAAGAACTTTGTAACATTCTGCAACAATGTCGCCATGATTCTACCACGAGGTACTTAAATAAGTTTAGTCATTATTGAAAAATAATCAAAACTTAGTTATATTATTGGTATGGGGTAAAAGGAAAATAACTAAAATAGTTTTCCATTAGAAATATTTAAAATAAATAAAAAATAGACTAACACCCATTTAAAAAAAATTTAAATTTGTAAAGCTAAAAAAAAGTGAAATAGTAAAAAAATTCCTCCTAATTCTTAAACAAAACTTAAATGGTAAAAATAATATTTTCTGGGAAGTATAGCATCTTAAAATGTTAAAAGAGATTCTTATAGAAACTCTTTTTAAAAATGTCTTGTTACCTTAAAAATGCACAGAGAAAAATTAAAAATATGCACAAAAGCAAAATAGAAAAAATAAAAATCAATCTTAATTTTTGAACGAAAATTTTTAAGCTGAACATCTCAGTTTTCCAATCATCATCTTTCTTAGGAAAAAAATTATGAAAATTGACTTAATTCAGTGTTTTCACTACAGCGCGAGAACGCGAGAATCTCGCATATTTTTTTATATTCTCGCATTAAAAAATGATTACCGCGAGAAATTCGCTCATTTTATAAACCAATTTCAAAATTCGCGAATTTCTCGCATTTTGATAGAAATTTCTCATTTGCGCCATATAGAATAAAATCCGTTTCACTTTTCTTCCTGGATCTTTTATTATTTTCAACATCTGCCCCATTATCTAGCTTCCCTATTTACCAGTATTGTTCAGAACCTTTAAGAACAACAGAACACCATCCTTCCGAACCACGGAACCTCTTTCAGAGCGCATTTCTCTGCAACCACGTGTTTACCGTAGGTAAGGTTTCTTCATGTAAGACATTCAAATTTCTTGCTCGTTAATGTAAGATGGACAAATACCTTATAAAGCTAATATCTTCTGCTCCGAAACGGACAAATGAAAATGAAACAAATGTGGGTAGAAACGATCAAAACGAAACAAATACGTATTTGAGCAACCTAATGAGAATAGCTGATGAAAAAGTAGATGTAGAACATTTTCCATACGATGATGCAGCAAAAATATTCAGTGTTTTAAAAATTAGAAGATGTTAAAAATGCATTATAATTAAAGAAATGATTTTTTTTTCAAGTCTCTTTGTTGTTTTTTTTTTTTTTAATTTTTGAAATCTCACTTAACTTTTTGAAATCTCACCCTGTTTTTGAGAAAGGGTGAGAAATTCTCACCCACTTTTTTTCTGAGATGAAAACACTGTAATTGCTGCATCATAATAAAAAATTTGATAAAAACGGAAGTTTTTTAAAAAAGAAAAAGCTAGGTAGAAAATAAAACAAAAATCATTCGTAATTTTTAAATTAAAAATTTGAAGATAAAATTCTCAATTTAACTTTTTCAAAATATCGTATTTTTAGAAAAAAAATTTGGATAAAAGACTGACGCTTGTTAAAAAATACTTAGTCATAATAAAAATGATAAGAAAAATTAATAAAATAAAGAAAGCTAAAGAGAAGGACAGAAAATAATTGTTTTTAAAATATGATTTAAACTTTGAAAATCACTATTATATGTCTTACCAAGCAGGAAAAAAGTGATAATAAAGAAAGAAATAAGTCTATCAGAAACATTCCGTTAAAATGATGCTCTATAATAAAAACAAAAAAACAACAAATGGTTCAGGTTTGGTTTTATGGTTTGGATAGATAATTGTTATGAATGAGTGCCAAAACCTTTTATCTAAGCTTTATGTATTCAAATGCGTTGGCGGAGAAGATGTTAGAAATAATGACTTTTAATTAAAGATAAAACATTTTAGCACTCAAAGAACAGTTCCCGAATTTTATGCAAATATAATAGAGGGAATCTTTTAAAATAGTTAGTTTCCGTTTTCATGTCATCGTTGAATAATAAAAAGATTACTGGTTATATTAATGCTTAATTTTATTACGAAATGATTAAATAAATAATTCTAAAATGATATAAAATATGCAATGCATATTTTTTCATGACAATAATACATGTCCCTATCTTAGACGTCTATAAATGCATTAATTATTTTTAAGGTAAATCTAAAAACTCACTTGCGAAAAAGACACAGTCAATGTTGCTGGAGAATTAACTGCTTCAACTTTCTTTCTTGGTAAATCAGATTTCTAAGAAAAAAAATCAATAATTATAAAAATATTTTATCAGCCTTTACTTTTGAATCAGTTTCGAACATGAACACTTGGAAAAAATCATTGCCCTAGTGGCATTGAAATGAAAAAATATCTTTGTATAAGTTCTTACACAAATTAAAATCATGAGAAGTTTTAATAAAGTCTACATATTAAGACCTCATAGGGATAAAATATCAAGAAATTTTTCCAAAAAAAATATCAGGACATAGATTGGAATGACTAACTAAATAAAGTGCAATTTGCTTTACCTAAGAAAAAAAGGCAAAATTATTTTTTCTTAATATAATTCCTTAAGTATTTTTTACATAGATGAATAATACACTATCATTTATTACACAAAAGCAGGGTTCATGATTTTCTTGATTTTTATTCAAACACATTGTAAGAACTTTAATTTATGATTAAAAATACTTTATAAATGTTTAATCAAAATTAACTTAATAATAAAATAATATAAGAATATTTTAGAAGATCTAACTTACTAATATAATTTTACATTACAATACATAGCTTTGAATGATAGCAGCCATTTTGAAACAAATGCATAATTGAAATATGAAGACTAGATGAAATAGAGAATTTAATTAAAGTGGTCTGTCTAGGTTTTTCTGAGAGGTATTGATTTTGTGAAAATTTAGACATAATTTCTGAAAATTAAAAATATTAAAAAATCAACATAAAAATATGGATTTATTCGTTTCTTACGAAACACAATAATAAAATGTATTTTCCTTTGTTGATTTCCAAAGTTGAATTTGTGAAGGTACCCTAAGCAGTAGCAAATTTGGCTTGGACAGACTCTTTAACTATTAAATTAAAGTTTCAATTAGCAAACCATAATTGTAATTTAAAATTGTGTTTTTTTTCTCTCTTGATTTTTAATATGACAAAATAAATGTAACAGATTGTGTTTATAAATGTAGTCATTCATCAAAAAATAAATAAATATTTAATCTATATATTTTTATATTAAAATATTCATTTTTGATTCTATATCAAAATAGATCAGCAAAAAAAAAATTTTTAAAAATCTATGCACTCATCGGAATTTATTTTCACAAAATTTCTAAATAGAAAATCTGATAATGTCAAAGATACTGTAAACATATTGTGAGAAAAAAATACCAGTTACCAGTTTATAACTCTACTGCCTCAAATAGACTTTGAAAGGGAAGAATGACGCTATATCAGGAAAAAATATCTGTATTCATTAGCCTTTTTTTTCTTCCTATTTTTGGCATATTAGGGTAATTTCTTTTTAATATAACCTCAAACTTTTGAAATATACATTTTCAACCAATGAAATATAATGTAGATTTTAATTCCATGCTGTTTCAATCAAAAGGTAGAATTTTAATTAAGATTTGAATTTCTTTTTTCAAAATTCATGTCTATTAATTACTTTCTACAGCTATGCAAGTCAGCATTAAATGTGTACTTTCAATCTCAAGAATTAAAAGATTTTTAAAAAATGTAATTTCAAATGTGTTGGAATTTAACACACACCAAGAAAGAAAGTAATTTCGTTAACTAAAATTAATTAACGCAGCAATTTATATAAAATAAATTTTAAAACTAAGAAAAGAAAATAATAAATGTATCAATAATTTAAAACACTGTTATTTTAACTTTTAAAATCAATATATATATATTGATTTTAAAATTGATATAATTCAGTTGATTTAAATCAATGATTTTTTTTAAAAAAATCATTTTATTTAAATCATGATTTAAATTGTGATTTAAATCAAGCTGATTTAAATCAACGAACCCTGCACAAAAGTAACATTTTTAAAATTTAAAGAAAGGAAATTTTTTTTTATCCTATACACTTTTTATACATGAAAGAATACATATACCATTATCGCAGGTGATATTATTTCCCTTTAAAAAAATAAAATTACATATTTCTCCCTTTTACACATTTTGCAAGTCATCATTGTAGAGAAAAACCACATGATTTCAAAAACCTGGACAACATCTGCCAAAAAGAAATTAACAATGATTGACAGAACTTGGGAACATCTTAAATAATGACAAGTTTTACATGGATCACAATTGACAGTAACTAAAATAAACTGTCTGCATGTAACATGCATGGTTTATAATCACAATATCAAAGGGAAATATTTTAGACAACAGCAAATTGTATACAACCTGCCTGAAGCCTTATTTAGAAGTAACGATAAAGTAAGAGCTGTTGGTGAAAATGATGAAAATTATGTAAGAAACAAGATATTGTATAAAATATAGATATAAGTACCAAGTAAAGCATCTATAACATTCTAAATAACAGTTGTAAGATTTATTATTTACTTTAAAAAGCACTATTTATCTAGTATTCAAATTTCCCCTATTTTACCCAACAGACAATATTTTCCAACATTGTCACAATTCCCTACTTAACTAGTTTAAATTTCTAACTTCATTACTATTAGAATTCTAGTTATAGCAAGAATCTCTCCAGTTTTCTTCGAAAGGGAAAGGTGGGACGATTAATGTTAATTTTTTTAAAATCAAAAATTTCCATTTAAAATCAATTTGGCACCTTGGCGATTGTAGTTGGTGTGGCAAATATGATACGGAAATATCCTCGGGTAATAGGCGTAAATAAATATCAGATCCCCACAAATTTCGCAGCCAAAAGAATAACTTCAAAGTTAGAGCATACAGATCTTTCTTTAAATTTTTGTAATAAAACAAGCTTATTGTTTTGCAGTCTCATCTTAATTTAATTTGAAAAGAATAAAGAAATGTTAAAATATATATGTTATACGAATACTTCTTTACCTTCATAATAGAGTTGATGTAAGACATGATGAAATTCGTCAGATATAGACAAACCTAAACGGAAACTTTTACTTCCTTTAGTAATACACGCGAGCAGAAAAAAAAATTTTTTTTTTTAATCAAACAGTATCTTAACATGGAATAAAATAGCTGTAAGTTAGTACAAATATTTTTTATTCAACTCTATAAATCTAATTAATACCTTTTTATTCTTCTTAGCCTTGGGTGCTTCTTTCACCATTTCCATATTTATTTCAAAAATAAGACAACCTAAATAAAAATAAGACTTCTTCTTACTTATAAGAATTTAACATTAAACCCGTTTAAAGGTAATATTTAATGTCATTTTTATTATAATTGACAATAAAGTGAGGAAATTGAGAAAATAAATATATTTCATAAGGGAAATATTGGATTCTAAATTTTTTATGACATAAATTTGAATAATTTAAGCAAAAATTTAAAATTTGGACGGATAATTTGATTCAAACAGACAGGATAATAAAAGAGTGAGCCGCAATACGACTTACGCAGCACATCTCACATTTGATCAGAATGTTTACAAAACAAAGGTAATTTTCCGTTTTCCCTTTTCAGTAGTTGCCATACACTCAAGAATTAAATCTGAATCTGTATTTACGAGCATAGACTAGCCGAGAGACAAATGCATGCTTATAGATGGCGCTTAGTAAAACGAAAAGGGTGATCAAATTGATGGAATTAGCATTGCGTCACAATTGACTCCTTTAACAGGGTCGTACCCTGTTAAGGGAGGACCCCGTTATTTTGAACCTGTTATTTTGAGACAGGATTATACCCTGTTTAGTTGTTTTTAGGTATATTTGAGGTTGCTGAGAAAACAAACCTAAAATTTACACCTCGTAAAAGTTGTAATTGAGGCGTACGAGGTTGTTTTAAATACACTTCAGTTCATTTTGAGGTTTTTTAAAATTCACTTCAAATCAACCAGACTGATGATGTGAATTTTAAGGTACACAGGTTGTTTTTCTGATACTTATAACAATAAAGGTATATATAAGGTATAAAAAAATTTATCATATTTCAACTAAAGAGAATGAGGTATTTATTGAGGTGTATGAAGTCAGTATATTTTTACCTATGTTCATTTTGAGCTTATAAGTTGCTTTAAATTCAGTTCATATAAGCTAGATTGAGGAAGTGATTTTTACGGTGTACCAGGTAGTTTTTTTTTAATATATTTATTTTTTTTTTACACTTGTAACAAAAGAGGTTTTTATGAGATATAAAAAAGTTTACCTTATTTAAACTAAAGAGAGTGAGGTATTTATCGAGGTATATGAAGTCATTTTATTTATACCTAAGCTTGTTTTGAGGTTGTTTTAAATTCACATCATATCAACTAGATAGAGGGAGTAATTTTACAGGTTATTTTTTTGACATTTATAACAAAAGAGGTATTGTTGAGGTAGAAAAAAATTTACCTTATTTCAACTAAAGGAAGTCAGGTATTTATTGAGGTGTATGAAGTCATTTTGTTTATACCTTAGCTTATTTTGAGGTTGTTTAAATTGCACTTCATATTAACTACCTCACTTCCCAGAGTTCCGTGCGAGACGGCGAATGGCGTGTGTGTTGACAATCGAAGGAATATGTGAAATTCGATAAGTGTGTTTGACATTTATTAGTTTCGTTTTATCACTTTTAATCAAATATGCTTCAATTTTCAAACTTACATTTTATTATTTTTGTTTAAAGACACTTCCTGGTTTTAAATAATTATAGTCGGAGGATATTCTTTGAGGCTATTATTGTAGGCTTAGCAATAAAGAGAAAAATCGGAAAATTTCTCGTCGCTGCTTAGGGTAACGTTACTTGTGAATCGTTACAGTGGATTACGCACAGTATGTTTTATTGTTTGCCATTTATTCAAATATAACTATTTTTTTATTTTGCTCAAATGTATATGTTTTAGCGTGGCAGTATGCAATCCGATTAATTTAATAAAATGTTCATAATTTCTCTTATAAATAAATCATGAAAATTGAAAGATTTAAAAATAGTAATTTTGCTTTGAAATTCTACTACTACAGTATGCTGATCGTTTGCTTGGATATCTGTATGTATATGCAAAGTTTATATTGTTGTTCATGAGTGAAAATATGTATAATAACACTGCATTTTAAATCTGATTAACTTGTTATTTTTTTGTAAAATATGTATATATTTACAGAGCTTATCCACAAGTAGTTCCCTGACATTGCTGAGATGACCTAGGCTGTAAATATTGATTGATTGATTTTATTGAAATTACATACATTTGCTGACTTGTGTGCTCAATATAGGCTTATAAGTCATTGTCAAGTAGACAGTACAGATAGAACAATTCAGAGAAAGACATCACAAAGAATACATCCAGGGTTACGGCGGGATTCGAACCCGCTACCTCCACGCTTAACAGAGCGTTTGAACCGGTGATACCGCTCGGCCAGGGAGGCCCCGGCTGTAAATAGAACATGTGCAGCAACGAGAAAGAAGTGGCTAGCAAGCTACTGCCCAGCCTTACTCTCGAAAATAGTTCTGAATTTATACCAAAATGAAAAACTAATCTCTCATAATAAACTACTGAATTTATGTATTTGTTTAAGACAATAGTTCGCCTGATATTTGATAATTGAAAACTAGTAACTTTACTAGCTCACTTTTTCACGCTTGAACTCAGAACTATTATTTTTCACTACATGTTATTTATTATTTTTTTTCTTCTTTTTATTGCAATTTACCCTTGTTAATTATTCACTAAGCAGATTGCTATTACTAGAGCCCGGATTTTGATGACCTAAAAAATCTCAACTAATGCCCTTAAAAAGTGCAAAAAATGCCCTTAAGAAGGGCAAAAAATGCCCTTAAAAATGCAAAAATTGCGCAAAAAATGCCTTAAATAAAGTAAAAATATTGAATTAAAAAAATGTTTTGCTCTTTAAAATTATTATGAGTCATTTAAAAGATATAAAGCAATGCAATACTTGTTCTACGCTCATTAAAGTTTGAAAAATATGTTTTGTATCCTAAAATAACAAAAAAAAGGAAAATATATTGACACCAAAATATTTTTATTTTGTATAGAAACTTTAATGGATATAACAACTTCCATCTCATAATATTACTAAATATCAGAATTACATTGGATTATTAAATGTTTTTTGATAATTTGAAATGTAAACGAGCGTCTCTTGTCTGAAAGTAAATTTTCATTCCTGCAAAAACTTCTTTCAACGTCTACTGATGTTATAGGTGCGTACTTGAAAAAGACGGTCTTACTTACTGACAATTCTTCTTCAATTGAAAAGATGTTGCTTCACCTGTTAATATCCTATAGATTTTCTTTATTGTTTGGAAGCCAGTGTAATAATGAAAATTGATAAAAAATAATAAAAATTGTAAAAAATTAACAGAAAACCTTAAAAAATGCATTTAAATGCAAAATACGCCCCAAAATTTCAAGAAAAAGGCCCTATAAATCTAAAAAAGTGCTCTAAAAGACAAAAAATGTCCAAAAATGCAAAAAATGCAAAAAAATGCAAATGTCATCAAAATCCGGGCCTTAGTTATTACTCATTAGAATATTAAGCAGAACTAAGTAATACCCGATTTCAAGTTTACCTGACAATTTGTTTCAAAGTCATGAGCATTTTTTTATGAGGCTACTTATGGCTCTTTACATAAAAAATTACCGAATTTTAGATATCTGAAATTTTTTAGAAATAATCTGAAATTTTTTAGAATGATTTCTAAATAATGAAATTTTTTAGAAATCATTATACTGACTTAAGTCAGTATAATGATTCTTATGTAGTTTTAATGCTGAATTGAAAAAAAATCAATTGCAAATAAAAATATTTATTGTTTGAAAGTTATATGCATTTTTTTTTTTTTTTTTTTTTTTTTTTTTTTTTTTTTTNATAACTTTTTTTTTTTTTTTTTTTTTTTGAATTTCATATCCTCTGGGATATGTTTTTATATTTAAAGAAATGTTTGTTGCAACTAACGATTAGTTTTATTCCCCTCGGTATTATAAGTTACATAGGAAATATTTTACTCAATTTCTTTTAAAAGAATTATTTCAAATCGTTGTCTCTTAGACATTTCCCTCACATTAAATTGCTCTCAACTTTAAAACAAATGTTTCTATCAGCTTGTGATAAGTTTTATTCGATTGAGTGTAAAAAATTTATAATAATTGGTACATAACTTTAAAATTTTATGTTGTAAAACGAATGTTGATTCTTGATTTCATTGATTAAAGTATTAAAATACCTATTTTTTAAGAAACTCTGATGTGATTGACAAAAACCAAAGTCCTTTTTAGAATCAACGTCAAAAATTAAGGCCTTTTTAAAATCAGCGTCAAAAACTAATTGCTTATTAATTTCATGAAGTCTGGTAAAAAGTTTAAAAATATAGACTAGAGTTTAAGGATTTGTAAGAAAAAAAGAAAGAAAATCTAATTATCAAACTTACAAGTATCATAATGAAAGATGTAGGTTCAATTATGGGAAAATAAAAAGTGTTAAAATTTCCTAAGATTGGAATTATATGTATGAACATTTGTAAAGGTTGTTAATGGTAGTACTTTCTTCGGTGTATTTTATTTCGTGGCTGTGTATTTTATTTCGTGTGTATTTATTTCGTAGCTAAAAGCGTGACAGGTACTGTCGCGCTTTTATCTACGAGAAATGAATAGAAATGACAGTAGTGGAATGCCATTTATCAGAAAAGAAAATTAATTTCATCCAGTTAATTTAAATCATGAAAAAAGCAATTTCTAATATTTTAAAATCTGCCACTGTTATTGCAAATATGACTTTATTACTAATTTATATTTTTTTTCTTATTTTAGATTCCAATACCTCCAGGTTCCAACAGGTAGGCGGAATCAATATTTAAATTAATTTTGTTAGTTTGTAAAAAAAAATTCAATTTTAATTTTAAATAGAAGTATTTTGAATTTCAGCTGACTAAAATTGTGTGAATTTGCAGTTTTATGACTTTAAAAATTCAAGCACATTAGACAACTATCTTATAAAAATATGAGTTCCCACAAATAATTTTTTTAACTGTAGAATTCGGATAAGTGTCATTTCAAGAATATTTAGTTACATCTATTAAAATTATAGAAGAATTAAGTATTTGAAGCTTTCTTTTAAAGCTAAACAAAATAAGCAAGTACTGCCGAAGGTGTAATATTGAAAACTTTAGGTTGATAATTGAAGATCTCTACTAGTGAAAAAATGTAAAGATAGGCATTATTTTTTTTGATAATATAATGTTTTTATAGGTTAAAAATTAATAAACTAAGTGGATCGTATAATACTTCACGTTTGGGAATTATTACCTTCGCAAGAATTAAAAAACAGCTTTACGTTGAGCTATATAAGCCTGAATTGTGAAATGTCGTATCTTAGGTTGATAAATTAATACTTTTAAAAATACAAAAAAAATATATACTCGAGATTACGAAATAATAACCAAAGGTAGAACAAGAAACACCTCATGTTAATAAAAAATTACCTTTAAGTGCCAAAAAATACATTTGAGGTTGATTTATAATATCCTGAAGTGCAAAACGGCCCATCTTAAGTTGATAAATAAATACCTTTACAAGCATAA